GCTGGCTCGATTTCCAGGAGGATGCTGGGCACTGTCTGGTTCTGGCTCTCACAGGCATGGTTTTGTCTAGCACGCAGCACAAATAGATGTTCCCAAGCTCAACTGGTGCTGGGGAGCAGATTTCATGGTTGTATAAAGTCTGCCTCCCAATCCAACAGCCTGGGCTCGCCATTACGTTCAGAGTTTAGGGATGTTTTCTTGTCAAGATACCTACTTGTTCAGAATCTGGTGGTAGAGTCTGAGTTGGGCTAACAAAATACCTTGTCAGGATTAGGTTTGATTTTAAGAACTAAGTTCTGTGCTTTTTGACGGTCTCCTCGATTCTGCAGACCGTGGCTCTTTTGCGTCGCTGAGGGAGACAAGCGTGTCTGTGAGACAGATGTGACACTGGGATGCTCGCCTTCCTCGCCGTGTGCCAGTTCTCCTCCTAGTCTCAGGCCACTCTTTTCCAAATAAGTTTATATGGCTTGGTTAAAATAAAAATGAAAGAGATGAAGTCTCGCTATAGAAACATTCCTACTGTTTATGAAGTAGAGTGGTTGGTATCATATGATTTATGGGTGTAAACATTCAAAAAGGTATATATTTAATATATGAAACACTTAGTGTATGTATATAGAAATGAGGTGTCTTATCCATTATGAAATAAACTGTGATACTGATTGATTAAGGCGGGTTTGCCTTTCTGCTTTTAGGTATTATTTGAATCTTTGTAACCAGTGTGTTAATTTTACGAAGAAAAGAATACCCATATTTATCGGTCTACTTCGGCTACCTTCGGGGAGAGCCCGGCCCTTTATAAAGCGAATCAGCATTTTTCATGGCTGCTTCGGTGCCTAAGGCTAAAAGATAAATTCAGGCAGAACCTCGGTCAGAGGAGAGAGCCCCAAGCATTGGGGTTCGGCGACCCTCAGAGATAAAATTGAAGACAATAGGCAGTAAGAGTCCAAGTATTTAATAGAGAACACGGTTCCTCACTTTATGAGGCACAGCTGCCGAGACAGACCCGCCAAACAAGGAGAGCAGGGCTAGATCCGATCGCATTGTCTAGGGATTGTCCAAGGAAGGTGGGGAGTGAGGACCTGAGCCGCCACGGACTGTCCCCAAAGCAACCTAAAATCCAGCGAAGGGCGACGTGGCTGCACCGTCGGCATTACTTCTAGGGGAAGTCAGGGTAGGAAAGTAGTCTGTGTGGACCTGTTAGCTCAGCTCATCACCGTCACTGTTTCCAAGGAGGGATCATGTGACAGCAACCGGTCCGACTCAGACAACACAAATAAAGATAAATGCATCGTGCTTAGTGTTATTCAGACGACTACAGTTTTATAATCTTTATAAATAAAACGCCATGAGAAGATGGAGGAATCGGTAATTAATTTTTCTGAAGACATCAGAGATGAGAGCTAGTTTGTTACGAGAAGGGTGGATAGGTAAGCATCCCAGCCAGAAGCCGACGACATAGCACAAACATATGAATAAGAGGGGGTCGAGGGGCAGGTAGTTAATGCTTGATTGGGTGGGTCCTAGAATGTGACCTGTTGAGACGTGTAGACTGGATTCTGTGGACCATGTAAGGTTGTTAAAGGCTGTAAAGCATAACTCAGTCTGCAGTTGTTACTATGAAATACATAGGAAAACTCAAATTCAAAATTCAAACCACAGCGGCTCCACGCAGCTGTTGTGGGAGCAGAGCCTCGGGCGGGGACCCGCAGGGCTGGGCCTCACCTGAAGCTCGCCCAGGCCGCTGAGACCAAGGCGGTCACGTGGCACCTCCAGCCACCAGCACCTGGGGCCCGCCCGCGCCCCGGGAAGTGTGGTCACCTGCTCCGGGCCGCGCTCAGATTCTGCCCTGACTGCAGGAAAGCTTTGCCCCTGGAACCGCGCCAGGGCCCCAACTGTTGTAGGGGGAGGCAAAGGGCTGGCGCCACAGGTGAAGTGTCTTCCAAGAAATTGAAATGGTCCAGCTTTGTCACCTCTCCCCGGCATCCCTCTTCTCGATGGTGACACAACAGGCCCACAGGTCCTGGAGCAGACCCTCGACCCCATGCGGCTGGACGCTGGGACTCCTCTAGGAAGGTGCACACAGGCAGCAGGTGCTGGGCAGGTCACCTTGGGGCTAGGGTGGGGAGGGCACCCCTTTCTGAGGATACGGATGGAGCTGTGTCCCTGATGCACTTTTCCTTAGACCCCGAGACAGAGAGGCGGGACCCTAAGCCTCCCCACCTACAGGCCCCTGCAGGCTGAGTGGTTGCGGAGCCTGGGAGTAAGGCGATTGGGATTAGTGGGGACTGTGGCCACTAGGAGGGCGCTCCTTTTCCACCCCCCTCCGCTGTCATGTGCCAGTGCAGGCACTGTTGTAGCCACCTGCAGGGATGGATGGGCCCTGCCCCCAACCCCAAATTCATTTGGATGTGGAGGCTGATGATGTCACACGTGCGCACACACACCTGAGAGGATATGAGACGCTTATTGTTTGCATACTTAAGGACCCTGGGGAGAGCAGGTCTGAAATGAGAGCCAGGCCAGGAGCCTGGTTTAGGGGTGGGGCAGAGGGAGGGTTTCTGCACGTGGGCCAGGGCCTCAGGTGGTTTGATCTCCCACTGGCACCAGAGAGGGAACACCCAGGCTCTCTTATCAGCTTGACCCTGTGTGGGCAGGAGGGGAGGGCGCAGGGCTGGGCCGAGAAGCTGTCAGGTCCTCAAACATCAAAAAATGGAGCCAGACACTTTATCACAATAAAGAAAATAATCCCTGCGCCGGAAGTATCCGTATTAATCGCACCTGAGATCTGGTAAGTGCTTGCTGAAGGCCAGGCCCTGCTCTAGGCACTCTATGTGGTCGTTGCAGTTTTTAAATGGAGACAAAATTTCTATAACATAAAACTCACCATTTTAATGTGTATGATTCGGCGGGGTTTAGTCTAGTCGCAGTGTGCAACCGTCTAATTCCACTGTACCACTGTCTAATTCCCGAACATTTCTACCTCCCAAAGGGAAACCCAGCCATGCCCCTTAGCAGTCACGTCCATCCCCCCCTCCCCAGCCCTTGGCAACAACTAATCCATTTTCTCTGTGGATTTGCCTGTTCTGGGCATTTCATGTACACAAAACTGTGCAATAGAAACAAAAGATCCCCAACAGCCCAGATGGGAAGAAGTTCATCGCTCCCGAGACAGGCGCTGTCGGCGTTTCGGGAACCCCTGCTGATCGTACCACAGGTGATTACGACCGAAGGCCTCAGGCTGGACGCAGTCTTCCGCACACGGAATCCTTCCCTATACAACGTCAAAACAATAGAACTGAAAAACTAAACAATCGTTTTGTTTACAGTTACAGCTTTTTGCAAAATGTTGCCCGAAAAAAGAAAACCCCTAACAGAAATAAAACAAAAAGCACTAAGGAAAGACATTCACAGTTCTACCTAAAAGCTTGTGCTGGTTTCCCACTACTGCGTCTACTAATTCTAACAGTTGCTCCTTACCTTTTATTTAACGCCCACTACCAGCCCTACACTGTTGTTGCTTTTAGACCTTCTTTAAAAAAAAAAGTTTTACTCTGGAAAGGACCCGTAACGGGAGATTGGCCCTCTTCGTGCAGCTTTAGGCGGGTCCCACGCCGCGGGCGGCAGGTGCGGTGCGGCGAAGCGGGTCTCCGGAGCCCACTCCTCCGCGGGGCCGCGGCTGCGGCCTTTTCGTTGGTAGCTCCCCGCTGCCCGGTGCCCGCTCGGCCCTGCCAACCACCATTCTGCTCTTTGCTTCTACGACTTTTGACTGCTTTAGAAACCTCATGTAAGTAGAATCGTGCAGTATTTGCCTTTCTGTGACTGGCTGGCTGCACTTGATTATCGTGTTCTCAGAGCTCACCCATGCCGTTGCACGCGGCAGTTTCCTTCTTTCTTATTTAGGCCGAATAGCGTCCTTTGGCCTGTATGTACCGGTCTCTCCAGCTACTCAGCTGTCTCATGGACTTTGGGGTTGTTTCCACATATTGGCTGTTGTGACTAGTGCCGCAGTGAACACGAAAGTGCGAATTTCTCTTTGGGATCCTGGTTCCAATTCCGTTGGATAAACACCTAGGAGTGGGCTCGTTAGATCCTACGGTAGTTCTATTTTTAAGTTTTTGAGGAACTTCTAAACTGTTGTCCACGGCGGCCGCACGATTTTGCATTCCCACCAACGGTGTGCAAGGGTTCCCACACCGCCACCCCCTCGCCAGGACTGGTCATTGATTGATTCATTGATTGATTGATTTTATTATTTTTTTAAATTCTTTTTTTTTTTTTTTGGTAAATATATCTTTATTGATTTCAGAGAGAGGAAAGGAGAGGGAGAGAGAGAAATATCAATGATGAGAGAGCCATTGATTGAGCCCGCAACCCGGGCATGTGCCCTGACCGGGAATCAAACCCCGATCGCCTGGGTCCTAGGTCGACGCTCAACAGCCGAGCCACGCCCGGCCGGGCGATTTATTTATTTTGATAATAGCCATCTCATTATGGTTTTGATTTACATTTCCCTGATGATTAATGATGTTGAACATTTTTTTCATGTACCTGTTGGCTAATTTCTATGTCTGAAGAAATATCTATGTGAGCCCTTAGTCCGTGTTTAAATTGCTTATTAGTTTTTTTGGTGGTGTTGTTGTTTACTATTGAGTTGTAGACGTTCCTTGTATATTTTGGATATCAACCCCTTATCAGATAAATGGTTTGTAAATATTCCCCCTCCCGTAGGTTGCTTTTACACCGTTAAATGTTTACTGTGCAGGAGCTTCTGTGTTTGATGTGGTCCCACTCCTGTTGTTATTGCCTGTGTGTTTCGTGTCAAATCATTGCCAAGACCAAGTTCATGAAGACGTTTCCCCTACGTTTTCTTCTAGGAGTTTCATAGTTTTGGGTCTTTTGTTTAAGTCTCTAACCTATTTCGAGTTGATTTGTTGAGTGTGGCATAGGATGGGGTGCCAGTCTCCCCCTTTTGCATGCGGGCACCGTTTTCCCAGCACCTTGGTTGAAGAGAAGGCCCTGTCCTCGCTGTGTGTTCTTGGCGTCGTTGTCCGGCACCCGCTGACCGCTCACCCGTGGATCTGTTTCGGGCTCGCTGTTCTGTTCCGTCGGGCTGTAGGTCTGTCTTATTGCCAGGTCCATCGCTGCATTTTATCATAGATTTTGAAATCACGAAGTGTGATACCTTCAGCTTTGTTGGTCTTCCCAGGACTGATTTGGCTATTTGTGGTTCCATATGAATCGTAGAATTGCTTTTCTGTTTCTTTGAAAAATGCCATTGTGGTTTTGCTACGGGTTACATTGACTCTGTAGATTGTTTGAATATTATGGACATTTCAATGATATTAAGTCCATAGATTATTCTAAATGCTTTACCTATAATAACATTTTTTTCTAATTCTAAATTTTACTGTTTAAATGAATTGTTTATTTTAGAGTTGATTAGATGGATAGAAAAGTTGCAAAGATAGTACAGAAAGTTCCATATACCCTATAATCAGTTTCCCCTATTATTATTAACATTTTACACTAATATTGCATATTTGTCATCTTAATGAATCAGTATCATACATTGTTACTGACCAAAGTTCATACTTTATTTGAATTTTCTTAGTTTTTGCCCAGTGCCTTTTTTCTGTTCTAGGATCTGCCCAGGACTACCGTCAGTCATCATATTCCTTAGGCTCCTCTTGGCTGGACAGTTCATAGTAGTTCTTAAATCATCACAATAATTCCATGTGATAAGACTATTATCTTTTTTTTTTATAGATGAGAAAACTGAGGCCAAGGCCACACAGAAATGGGAGCCAACTCTGGGAATCAGGGCCGGAGCCCCCACTCGCTGCACCCCTTCCAGTTATTGGGTCCTCAAGAAAAGGTAGGTGAAGGTCAGCTGCACCCTGGACCAGGTAGAGAGCGGCACCCGGTGGGTGCATCGGGCCCCCAAAGGTGAGCTTATTTGTGGCTTGTAGGCGGTTAGTGAAATTGGGGTAAGGTTTCAGCGAGGAGATGAAGTGTGAGCTGGCCCGAGAGCCGGGAAGAATTGTACAAGACTCTGGCGATCTTTTCAGATACGTTAGAATCCTTGCCCCCTATTACTTTTTATAGCATCTCTCAGGATAGATGGATGGTTTTGCCCTGGAGCCAATGGCTTGAGGACCAGAAGCTTTGGGTGGTGGTTTAATAAACTTTCAAGGTCTAAGCAGAGTCATGTTACAGGATTTCATTTTCCTTGCGAGAGGAGAGAGCCGCTTGAAAAGATGACGCTTTCCGGCCTGTGAGCCGGTCGCCTCAGTATGAGCTTTATCACGTTTCCAAGCCCTGTCCCAAGCAGTCCAAGGCGAGGGCCAGGTCAGTTTTGTTTGGTTAATGAGTTGTTGATTCTTTTGCACCATCTGGCACATTCAGAAGTAATGAATAAATATTTGTGGAAACAGGGAATGAATGAACCTAATTCAATTCGAAGAGATGTTAAAGATTTCTTGGTAATACTGTTGGCGGTGGAGGCGACACAGGGTTTTCCTTCCCAAATGAGAAAGGACTTGTACCTGGTCACACCGCCAGGGTCTGGAGAAAGGAGGGGCAGAGAAGTGCCAGGCCTATGCCCCTGCTCTTCTTTCCGGCTTCCACAGACGCCCCCTCGGCCTCTGAGTCCGTAGAGATCATTCTCAGAATGTTCTAGGAACTGTTCTATCGATGTTTACAGCTTCTCTATTCATTGGAAATGAACTCTACTGAGAAATTGTTTGAAAGTGGAAGCCAGCAGCTTTTACTTTGTGCTCATTCACCAGGTTCACACGGGGCAACCATTCAGGGATTTGGGATTGGTTTTATAAAGTAGTGACTTAAAAAAAAGAAAAAAAAGTCCTGCTTCAGAGGAGAGTGTGACACGTGCCATGTACTTGATCTTTAGAGGTTAGGGGAGATTTTTCAGGTCGGACTGAAAATATGTCCTTTGGAATCATGACTCCTTCCCCCAACCTCGGGGATATGTTTAAAAACGGAAAACTAGCCAATTGGAAAGAGTCCTGGCAGATTAAACCTGACCTCGCAGGCACCTGGAAAACTGCCCTTTAGTGGAGTTTATTGAAATCCAGGCCTGGAGGATTCCAGCAGAGCTCTGTCTTAGGGTCAAGGGTTGGCTGAAATTCCATATTGTTTCTCACATTTCTGTAAAACAGTGACGAAAATGGCAGTTTAAATGGAAAGAGTAGAGGCCAAATGTGAGCTGTAGAAGATACAGTTGTCATTTAATTCTTCTTGCTTGTCGGCTCGTGTCAGTAAGACCTGTGTTTTCAAGGTAGTTATAAATGTGTAAAAAAGATGTTATAACCCAAAATAAAATTGATAAAAGAAAAAAAGTGTGGGTAGAGTAATTAAACCTATGACACATGAAGGCACGGCCCTTCACATCTAGGGTTTGGTTTTGACTGTGACTTTGAGAAAGATGGCAACATCTTTAAATGTACGCTTCATGAATTCTGTTTAATGCATAATTGTGTTCCTGTGTGGATCGCTTGGCAATAGTCTGACGGTTCTGTGGATTTGTCCTGACAGTCAAGGCAGAAGTATGCGCTGGCACCAGGGGAGGGAAGCTTCAGAGATCCGCACCTTCTGCGTAGGTGAACAGTTGTCTCCTACAGCGTTTGATTTGAGTGCTGTTGACAAGATGAATGATGTTGGTTGAGGGAGCCCCAGAGATGATCTTCTGCATTTTAAATATTCATTCTCTAGCCAACATTCCGCCACTGGAGACGCGTGTCTCCAGCTCTACATACTTCCAGTCAACAGTTCTTTGTTAGAACCTAATACATCATCAACGGATATTTTGATTACCCACCAACAGCCTAATGCCGCCTGTCTCCATTGGAGTACCAACCACATCACGATTACCTGGAGGGTCTGTTAAAAACACTGATTTGGGGGCCTGCCCCAGACCAGTGTGGACAGACTCTCTGGGTGAGGAGGTGGTTGAGCCAGGGAAGTGGGAGAATCACTGAACAAGTGGAGAGCCCTCTGAGAACAAAACTCTCTAGAGCCCAGGTGGGCACCTGAGGAAGAGGAGGGCCTATGCCAGCGTGAGGGCGAGGGCAGAGATGGGCCCATGGGAGACACCAGCGCTGGGCTCTGGCCTCTTCATGGTCCTGCCCTGGGCCAGTCCTTAGATGGCATGTGAGCGTGGCTCTGGCCAGTGGCTCTATGACTAATCTGATCAGGAGAACGGGAGATGTACAAACCTTTTGGAAACGGTGGGGCTGGCCCACAGGAATGCGTGAAAAACAAAGCATTCTCTGAGATACCCTCCCTAACTCAACTGAGCCCCCGGGGGGAGGCTTTTCATTCGTGCTGGCCCCGGGGACATGTGGTGCAGATCCAGATATGTCCTGGGTCTTGTGATCCCAGCCTTTCTTTTGAAACAGTTGCTGACAATCTGTCACTCCTTTGTCCTAGAGCCCGGCGCGGTTGAAACTCGGGTATCAGCTGCAGTTGCTGTAGGTCCATTTCTGTTTTCCAGCAGGTGGGTGTGTCTGCTTCTTTCCTTTCATCTCCATCCAGGCTCTTCTTTCAAGCGTTTTCCGGTTCGTCAAGCCAAGTATGCCTGTCATGTTGGAACCCAGCCCTGGGATACTCACCAGCTCCTCTTTGTGTTAGTATCTCCCTCGCCTATGTTTCCACCGTCCCTCGCCTTCCTGAAGCTCCCAGTCCACCCGCATAACCCCCCGTGCCCTGTTCTTTTTATGGTGGGTACTCAGAAACGGCCTCTTGCCCTCCTAGCCTCACCTCGTCTGTGCTTTCACTTCACCTAGATCTGCCCTGTGCTCCTGCCCTGGGTCACCTTGGCTGTTCCTGCTCTCTTTTTATCTCAGGTTATAGTAAGAGCTTCAACAGCTACCCTGAGCCGAATACTAGAGCTCAGGAGAGAGTGGATTTCAGGTTGGAATCTTCTCTTTGCTACGTATTGGTAGCTCTGAAAACAATAATTGTCATAGAGTTGTGAAAATTTAATTAGATAATATAGAAATATGCCAGGCACAGCACTGATAACAACAGATGTTCAATGCATGGTCCCTGGTATTATTCATATTATTTTTGTATGAAAACTTCCCATGCAACTGTAGCTCACAATGATTTTTTTCTTCCTTTGTACTTGTGGAGATTTTCTTGGGTTTGGGGTTCCAAGAGAAATGGGAGACTAGGATATACAGCCCTTAAGCATGTGGCCCAAGAGGGAAGACACACGTGAGCAGGAGGGAGAAAGCGCTGTGACCCGCAGGCCACCGCGTGCCGCTGCTCAGGAGCGGGTTTCCCTCAGGACCAGGCTCCTGGGGCCTTTGCTGAGTGTTCTGGTGGTTCCCTCTCTAAACACAGGCCGTCTCCGGAGGGATTTGCTTACTGGAAGGCCAGGGTTTCCCCATGCTGAGCTCGGGCCTTGGAGCCCCAACTGGACCAGCTCAGACTGTCCTGAGTGAGCTGTCCACCGTGGGGCCATGGGACTGCCACCCTGTGGTGGATTTTTGCTGCGGCCCAGCTCTGGGGCCAACACAATTCTCCAGCCTCTCGACAGGCTGTTTCCGCTGCTGCTAATTCCTGCTCTTCTGCACAAGAATCCTCTGGAGTGAGGAGCCCACAGACAGTGACGTCCCTGGCTCGTTAACCTCCGAGACACTGGCAGTGTCTGGGACAGTCTGTTCTCCCTTCCCTTTCGAACTCCCCGCATGAACATGAACATCTCATACCCAGGAACCTCTCCTGGTTTCATCCTACAAGCCACAGCCTCTCACGTGTGCTCTAACCCAGGGCTTCTCCCAGTGCTGTCGCTCGGGGGAGGTTTTCCATGCACTTCTGGTCTCTACACCGTCTGTATTCAAGGTTCCTGCTGACAACGCCTTGAAGGATGTTGGGAAAGACCACAGATTGACTAGAGCTCCTAGAATGAGACGAATCCTTCTTTCCCCCCAGCTTTGTGGCGATGTAATTGGTGTGGGACATTGTGAAGGTCTCAGGTGCGGAGCACGCGGCTGATGATTTGGTCCATGCACAGACGGTGAAACGATTGCCACAGCCATCGCCCCGCATAACTGCTTTTTTATTTATTTATTGTGTGGTGAGAACACTTAAGATTTGCCCTCTTAGCACCTCCC